CTCCCTCTGCAGGCCCCTCCCTCCCCTGCTCCCTCTGCAGGGCCCTCCCTCCTCTGCCCTCTCCAGGCCCCTCCCTCCCCTGCTCCCTCTGCAGGCCCCTCCCTCCTCTGCCCCTTCTGCAGGCTCCTCCCCACCTCTGTTCCTTCTGCAGGGCCTCTGCATGCTGCTTGTTCTCCGTGTGCCACAGCTGCAGTTCGTTCTGCATGGCGTCCACATCTTCCTGGATGTAGTCCATAATCTTTCCCAGAGGAAGCGCGCTCTTACACAAGGTCTGAATGGACACTCGGAGCTTCTCGATCTCCTTGGAAACAATATCCTTCTCCTTCTTCCACGCTGACTCAAAGACAAAGGATTTCTCCTACAGTCAGGAAAGCCAGAGAAAGAAAGAAGTATCCTGAGTTGTAGGCAGGAGGGGGGCCGCTGGGCACACCACCACCGGGCTGGACAGATGGACACAGCATAGTGACTGTGCTGGCTGGGGACAGTATCACTCCTAGGACACAGGGACCAAAACAGCCAAAAGAGTAGATGTGAGGTGGCAGGCTCCATGGGAGCACCCAAGACAGGAAGGGACAAAACCTTCCCTTCTCAAAGGGAATGTGGGTCTGTCTGCACCTGTAAATTAAAATATCTACTCTAAAAAAGTTGCAAAATATTTGCAAATCATAGTTTTAAAAAAGGCCTATATCTGGGCTGGGGTTGTGGCTCAGTGGTAGAGCGCTCTCCTAGCACGTGCGGGGCCCTGGGTTCAATCCTCAGCAACACATAAAAATAAAATAAAGATATTGTGTCCATCTACAACTAAAAAATAAACTATTTTTTTAAAAAAGCATGTATCTAATATCTGGAATATGCAGAGCACTCTCAAAACCCAATGGAAAAAGGTAAACAAACGAGTCAGAAAATGGGCAATGCCAGATATTTCACTGAAGAGCACATGCAGACAACTGTTCAAAGCCATTAGCTGCGGAGGACATCCAAGTTCAAGGCCAATGAGATTCCTATACAACCACCACAACGTCTGATAAAAAATTGACACTGGTCAGGAGAAATGACATTCCGCTTGCTGCTGGGGGCATGGAGCAGCACAACCTGCTGGAAAGCGCTTGGCAGCTTCTGAAAAACTAAATGTGCAGCTACCATATGCTCTAGCGACCGTCCTCCTAGGGGTTCAGCCAGAGCCATGACACCCTCTGTACACCCAGCCCAGACGCCCTTCAGAGGGGGTCAAGTGAACTGTGGAACACCATGGAATGCACCAGAAAGGCAGGGAGGAACTTGGCAGGGAGCCAGCAGGACAGCCCTGAGGAGTCCCACTGAGTGAGGAGGGTCCTGAGACACTCCACGACCCTGCACACCCCAGGCCGGGAGGACAGCCTGGCAGGGGCACGGGGCTGAGGGCCGGGGAGGAGGGTGGGCTGCAGTTCTGCAGAGTGCTGCCACAGGGCAGGTGGAGAGGGCACCGCCTCCTCCACTTCCAACTGCAGAAGACTCTACAGCTCCCTCAAAGCAACAGGCTCACTTTAAACAGGTGACAGTCAGGATGCTGGCTGACTAAAAGGGCTCACCACCACAGTCAACTGTTTCCCAAGGGGGAAGCTCACAGTCTTTATCACATACAAATTAGAAAATCTCCCTGACTTGGAAGACAAATTAAAAATTCTATTAAGACCCACTCGCCATGATGATGAGGTGGCCCCCATGTGTCGGACACTGTTGGCACTGACGCTGGCCGTTCAGGGCTGTATGTGTAACTGTCTCACAAAGCCATGGACTAGGACAAAGAAAGACACAAAGAACTCACTGGTCAACGCCCTCACACTGTGGGTCACCTGTCAAACCCTTCATATTTCTACATCATAGAACCAAGCACAACTCCGAACACTGAAGTTTATAATCCTTATTTTAGGATGCTAAGAATTTAAAACAAGATATACTTGGGTTGGGATTATGATAGTTTGTGAGACTCTTTTTTTATTATCTTAAAGGCAATGGATCACATTTCCACAGAACATTAGAATTCTGGAAACGTCTAAGCTTTCATTCAGATGAACTTGGCAGGGTAAAGATGGACAAATCAAGCAGTGACTATTTCCTTTAACAAGAACACACAACCCTCTGAGGACAGACTAGCTTTTTTAATTTTTTTTTTAAGTTGTAAGTGAACACAATCAATATCTTTATTTCATTTTTTTTTATGTGATGCAGAGGTTTGAACCCAGTGCCTCACATGTGCTAGGCAAGCACTCTACCATTGAGCTACAACTCCAGCCCCAAGACTAGCTCTTATATAGCTCATGTAGGTCTATTGGCAACTTTCCATATAAATGTAACCTTGTTTTAAAGAATTTTAATATGTATAGTAAAATTTAAGAATCTACAACCATACTCACCATACAGTAATTAAGTCATAAGAAATATTAATTTTTGGAAACAGAGTAAAAATACTGAAAATCCATCATTACACAAGATACGACCTAAACCAATCTAGAATGTAGCAGGTTCACGGGCGCAAGAGGAGCGGTCAGGTCCTGCAGCCAGCCCAGCCATGCCGCCTCCCAACTCTAGGCCTTTGGAGCCTGACTTGATCTCTGTACTTCAACTTCCTCTTGATAAAATGGAAATAATATTTATCTTATAGGTAGGGTTAAATGGGATAATTAAATAAGCAGCTCCGTGCCTCACATGCAGAAGCCACCCACAGGCATTAGCTCTCACCGTCAACTTATCCCCAGGAAGAAGTCGAAGGCCTCAGCAGAAGCCCAGGCATGCTTTCACAAACTCCTAGCCATACAGCTCACCAGGTATGCCTGCAGTACTATGGTGCATGTTGAAAAAAGATTATTTATACTACCAACCTCCACCAACAGCTGTATGTCCAGATGCAGATGGGTAAATTCTTTCAATAAAACACAATTTTCCACTGGGCAAGGAGGAAACTCACCCAGCAACCCAGGAGGCTGAGGCAGGAGGATAGCACATTTGAGGACACCCTTAGCAACCTAGTACGCTCCGTCTCAAAAAAAATTTTTTAAGCCTGCAAAAAGGGGAGGGGGCTGGAGATGCAGTTCAGTGTAAAACCCCTGGGTTTAATCCCTAGAATTACAAATAGTAATAATAATTGACCTTTCTTAGTGACATGCTCCCTTCCCTTTCTCCATTTTAAAATAAAATATAACCCCAGCTATGAAATTAACACCCAAACTCTTTTCCATAACAAAAGGTTTGATTCTGAGCTCTGAGAAAATCTGCTGTGAACCATGCAGAACTACCTACAACACCTTTTTGTGACACTCTTACCAGGGTTGTTTCTAAAAGCTGTTTCTAAAAATCAAGCAGAGTAGCACCCATGTTTCATGGGGATGCAGACCCACTCTCCTGGCTCCTGCCTCCTTTTCCTGCAGATTAGAGGCTACTTTCTCAGCTGCCTCTGGCATGAAGGCCTCTGGCAAGTATAAAAAGCAATTGGCTGAGTACTGCACACACCACCATGCACACCCCTGCACACACCACCATGCACACTACTGCACACACCAACATGCACACCACTGCACACACCACCATGCACACCCCTGCACACACCACCATGCACACCACTGCGCACACCACCCACCATGCAACACCTTGCACACACCACTGCATGCACCATCATGCACACCACTACATACACCATGCACACCACTGCACACAATAGCATGCACACACACTGCACATGTATCACACACACCCTGCACACACCACTACACGCACCATCATGCACACATACTGCACATATACTGCACACACACTGCACACACTACCCTGCACACACACTGTACATACCACCATGAACACACAGCACACACCACCATGAACACACCCTGCACACACCACTGCACACACACTGAAACACACCATGTACACACCACCATGTGCCTGCACTGCACACACCACTGCATGCACCACCATGCACACACCCTGCCCACACTGCACATACCACCATGCACACACTATCATGCGCACACACTACCATGCACACACTCTGCCTATGCCACCATGCGCACACACTGCACATGTACTGCACACGCCCTGCACACACCCCCATGCAAGCAAACTTTAGAAAATGCTTCCAAGATTTTTCTGGTGATCAGTTATCTACTGAAACTTAATACTATTTGCATTTTACTATACACACATGCCTCCAGAAATGTGGACAATTGTTTTAAGATTTTTAAATTTTCAATCATGTATTATAAGTCAGACAGATAAAAATGATCCAACTTAGAGACCTGTTCCAACTGCAATGCTTCAAGAGAAGAAAGTACTAACTGAAGAACAGTGTCTTATGGTCTGGCCCTTGGGTATTGCCAGAAGTCTATCTCACAAGCAGGTGGGGGCCACAAGGGAGGCCAGGCCTCTGCACTGCCCCCACTCTGCTGCCCTTGACTAGTCTGGCAAACCTAGTAAACAAAAGCACGATTAACTGGGGCACAGGGTAATAAATCAAAAAGCATTTGCTTTAAACAACACACTTACCCTTGACCCCAGGGGCTGATTTTTACGAAGCCTGTCAAGAGTTCCTATTCTTCATCAACAGGAAAACCTGCATTCAGTTACAAATGAAAAGCTCAGGCCAACAGAACAATCGTGCTGTGTCCCGTTCATCCAGAAGTATCCCACCACCGAACGCCTCTGTGAACCAGACATTCACCTCTTGTGCACACAGATCACCCAGGACCTCTCCAACACAGGAACAGAATGGCCCCTAGGCAAACACTGCCACCTCTTGATGCACATACAGAAAAGCAGATTAAGCATGAATGTTCAGTTTAACAGAGGAGTGAAGCGGAGAGCTGCAGCTGTCACTTGGGCTAAGTACGCACACTGCTAGCTCTTCCAGCTTGAGCACAGGGTCCGACAGGGTCCGAGGCCTGCCCTTCAACCTGCTGGAGGTCTGTCTGGCCCGGTGCTTGCCTGCATGCTTGTTTTACTTAGCAGGATACAAATGGACTCATGAGCAGAGAGCCCCTACCTCTGCCTCTTCTGCTCAACATTTGGTTTCTGAATCAACCACATAACTCGGATTCTGTTCACTGTACTGCAGAACAGCACTTCATTATGTGAATGAAACTCCATGATTTATTCACCCAGTCTACTGCTGGTGGGCTCTGGGGTTATTTTTCATGTAGGGCTTTTATAAAAAACACAACTCTGAATAAACTCACACGTGTCCCAGCTCACACAGGCACACGATGTGCTATGGGAAGGGACAAGAAGCAGCACTGCCAGGTCAAAGGCATGTTTTTCATGACATGCTGCCAAGCAATTTTCTAAGATGGCTTTAGAAATCTATGTCGAATATTAATGAACCAATATTCC